TCATTTTATTGGGGAAAAGAGTTCAGGCAGAAGAAACAGCAAGTACAAAGGTCCTGGGGCAGGAGGGAGCCTAACCAGTTCAAGCAACAACAAGGGAAGCAGAATGGCTGAGCGGAGCAGAAAGGGAGAGAACTATAGGAGAGGGATCGGGGAGCAAATGGGGGTCCTCCAGGTTGAACGGGAACTTGCAGTTCATTGACAGGGGCTTGACTTTGATGCTGAAATGGGGCCAATTGGGGGGTTGGGGCAGTGGATGCTGGGACCCGGCTCCTGTTTGATCAGCATCGCACTGGCTGCTGATGGACCTTTAACTAACAGGTGGAGGGACAAAGAAGAACGGAAGTAGGAGACCTGGGAGGGGGCCAGGGCAATCATCTAGGTTTGTGTGATATTTACATCCTCCAACTGTTTATCATGAAAATATTCAAACAGAGCCACGCTGAACTTTACAGTGAGCATCTGTCTGCCCAGGATTCTGGTTCTATTTCAAAAGAACAATCAGTGGGATTCGCTAGCCTGCAGGGGCCTGTGGGACATCTCGGGGAAGTAACCGCAGACAGTTGGGTATTTCGATCTGGAGCCAAAACTGCAGCCCAGGTCAACCCCCTCACCCCAGGCTCAGAGAGCCCATTTTTTTCTAAAAGGATTATATGTTAGGGACAGTCTGCTAGTCAGGTGGGACCTAACCTTCCTGGGTCATAAATCCAATAAACTATGAACAGAAAAATGCACAGAAAATTATAAACAATTGCAGGGAAATCGTGGATATAGACAATGAAAGACATAAGATGTCATCTGTTCCACTCCCTCAGAAAATGTCCGTTTAGCAGAATCCTTGTGAGCAAACATAACTAGTTTCTGGTGATCCTCTGAAGACCCTGAGCCTCACAGGTCTTCCCTCTGGGGTCCCAGAGTCCCCATTTCTCCTCTGCCTGGCCACAGGCAATGGTAGAAGCGGAGGGGTGAGGAAGGTGCTGCATGACTAAATGCCTGTAACCTGGAGGCTGCCCCTGAGTATTGTGAGGATCAGGGCTCCAAGGCTGGTGCCAAAAAGAGGCTCTGAGCTGAGCGAACCTTCCAGCCAGGGTCTGTTCTGAGCGATGCTCCCCAAGGCAAGGGACAGGGGAATGGCACCCAGCTAGGCTGGAGCCTGGGCCTGGCCGGGCCTCAAAGCTTTGAGGTCAGGAAATCCGGAGACAGAGGAGGGGACATCGTTGCCACATCCCCCAGCCCCTTTAAGACCCCCAGGGCAGGAAGGCTGCCCAGCCTCAGCAGCTTCCCTCCCAGGCTCCTTCCTGGGAGGAAGGGGCTGCCTGCGCCGCAGCAACAGGGCAGGGAGGGAAGGAGGCTGGGCAGGTGTTGCAATCCACAGCCCCTGGGTCTGTCAGAGGCAGGAGCCACTAACGACAGGCTGGGGAGAGAAGTCAGAGGCGCTGTTTTCAGGAACTTGCCTGCAGAAGAGAGCGGAGACCCGGAGGCCAGGCGGCGGCGGCTGGCTGCGGGGCTGCAGGCTCCAGGGTGAGTAGGGGAGCCCCTAGGAGAGCTGAGTCTTGGCCTTGATTGGGGCCTGCAGTGCCGAGGCCATCCCCTCCCGCCCACCCCGCCCCCCAGCTCTGCCAAGTGCCAGTATTCAGGGCCCCGAGGCCTGGGACCAGAGCTCCTGCCTTTAAGGTTTGTCCCTTGGACCAGGGACCCTAAGCACTGAGTCTCTCTTCCCAGAGATGTCCCCGCTTGGGGGTGGGCATCACAGACAGCTGGGCTCAGGGAAAGGTCTCCTTGTTAGTCCTCTCAGGCCTCTGCCTCTCAGAGGTGTGTCTCCACCTCCGTCTGTTTCACTCTCCGTTTCTCTTTCCCCAGCCACTCTCTGGCTTGCCCAGGGCTCCGAGCCTCTCTCTGTCTCTCACGTTTCCCTGTCTTTAAATCTTAAGCTCTCGTGGGTATCAGACTGCTTCTCAGCCTCCAAGTGCCTCAGTCTCTCTGTGTCAACACCATCCCTGTCTCTTGGGCTCGCCTCTCCCTGACTCTCAGCGGCTCCCCTGCCTGGCTTTATCTCCATCGTGTGGGTCTGCCCTGCGTAACTTCACTTTCTTACTCTTTCTGCCTCGATCTCTCTCTGAACCACACCTGGGAAGGCCTCTCCCTCAGTTCGTTCCCAGCGCCCTCCTCCCCCTCATCCTCCTGCCATATGAGCTAGAGTAGAAAGAACAGGGAGAGGGGCGGGAACTGGAGAAGGTGGAGAGGAGGGAGAGGAGAGAGAAGCAGAAAGAGGGGGTGTGATGCAGGGCTGGGGGGGGGGGGGCAGCGGGTGTGCTGGGACCCAGAAAGAGCCAAAAAGTGCCCAGCGGAGATGGCTGGAGCGAAAGGGAGACTTGGGGGCTAAGGAGCTGGAAGTAGGGGACCCAGAAATGAGGCCTCAAAGCCATGCAGCATGACACAGACAAAGCAAGGTGGCCGTCCCAGGAGGCGGTGACCACGCAGCCTGCAGGCGGGAGAGGCGCTGAGCCCTCCTGTGTTCCCTGAGGTGATGAAAATAACTTGGTTATTGAGTTCTTTCTCCTGGCAGCCCCGGCTCCGCGCCAAGTGTTTTTCTCAGGGTCGTCTTGTTTCATCCTCACCACAACCCTGAGAAGAGGATGCTGTTCTTATCCCTCCTTCACAGATGGGGAGACTGACGCTCAGAAAGTAACTTGTCCAAGGTCACCAGGCTGGTAAGTGGCAGAGCTGTGGTTCAGACCAGCTGGTCTGACTCACAGCTGGGCTCCCAAGCTCTCTGCACACTGACCCCAAGAGAGAAGCCCATGTTCCCACAGGCCCCAGTTCTCACTCACGGGGGCTGGGAGGCACCCGGGCTGCCGTGAGGGACCAGGGACCGATGCCAGGGTCCCAGGACCCAGCAGCCCAGCGGGGAGGATGACTGGCCTCTTGGGGTTTGGGGGTTGGTTGCCCACTCTGAGCATGAGCCAGTGGTGAAGTGGTCCCTCACTGGACACAGGCTGGGCCTGAAGCTGCCCCTGCTAGGGCAGCAGGGCTGGGTAGCACATGGAGATGGACACCAGTGTCCCAAAACCTGGGCCAAAGAGGATAAATCTTCCCCCAACAAGTGTGTAGGGGGGAAGGGGGGAATCAAACCAATGTGTTCTAGGAAGAAGGTTGCCAACCACTGAGTGGGGCGCTCTGAACAGCTGTACACAACGCTACAGGGCTGAGGGGCAGGCAGAGGCTGAAATCCAGCTTGTTCTCCAGTTACCAGGTCCCAGTGCGGGCTGCGTCCAGATTAGAAAAAAAATAATAATAACTTATGGGCTAGCCACCTGGTATCCTGATACTGTGACTATGTGGGGAGCCTGGGGGTCTTAAGGCCCCTACAAGCGGAAAGTGCCTTGAGTATCTGGGCAGTTGTTAGTCACACCTGTGTGGGAGGGAGAGAAGCTCTCGCCCTCCTGAGCACAGAGGATCTGCTGGGCCACCACCTATGTTTTTATGAATGCACACGCTGGCTGGTCAGCGATTCCCACTGACCTGCCACCAAGTGTCAGTTAGCGCTGGAGGATCAGGTGTCTGGCCCCCAGCCCCCAACGGGATCAAGTGGAGGGTTAGGCTGGAAGCCCACCCGGCACCCTTCCTGAGAGGGGAACTAATGCTCCCTCCACCCAGGCACTGTCGCCGGGGGAACATCTGACACTTCTGGCATGACTCACCCAGCAGAACCTGCCTCACACTCATGCATGTGCAACCTGGATGTGCCAGGCAGTTAATACCCCAAGGGACATCCCTTGACCAATGGGGACGGGAGTCGGTGCATAAGTGTTCCCATCCTCCCTCCCGTTCAAAGGGTAAACTGTCCCTTGGGTGGACAGTTCTGAGGCATGTCCACGGCTCCTTGGAAAGTTCCAGCAGGCTTGAATCCTAGTTGTCTACAGAGGTGACATGTCCTTGTGTTGGCTTTCCTTTCTTACCTGTTTCATTCTCCCTACTCCCTTGCTCTGTTCCTGGGATCTTCCTAAATAAACTGCCTGCATGCGAGCCTCATCGCAGGCTCCTCTTGGGGAGGGTGGGGGCGGGGGGACCCAGCTAAGAAAGAAGGACAGGGGGAATGCTGTTCCTTGCTGCTCCCTTCCCTGCTCACTCTGGAAGGCAGGACAATAATAACAGTGCCTGTCACTTACAGTCATTTCCCATGTGCCCTGTGCAGTAGTGTGGGCTGTTACCTCCATTTTACAGACAGAGAAACTGAGGCTCACAGAGGTCAGGTAACCTGGCCAAAGCCACACGGCGGCAGAAAAGCGTTAAGCTCCGCTCGGACTCCGAAGTCCAAGGCCTTAACCGCGCTCCTCTGCTTCCAGGTGAACTGCAAGTTGGCGCGATGGTGGTGGGGCTGGGAACCTGGAGCCTGGCCAGAGCTGCCCTGATCATCCTACTGCTCCCCAGAAGTGAGTGTGGCCGGGGTGGGTGCTGTGGTGAGAGGGGAGCTACAGGGAGAGATTTCAGGGTTGGAGGAGAGAAGCACGTTCCTGCGCTGCCACGCGGCCCCTGGGGATCCTAGAGAATGCCCAGAGAATGAGACTGGGCCACAGGGGTCAGGTAGCTGGGCTCCCATCACGGACTTCTGCAAGCCGCCACCCAGAAGGAATGGTGAGGGGACCTGAGCTGGTCAGCCTGGAAAAGCCTGGGGGTCGGGGGTGGCAGATCTTTCTGCTAATCTCTGCCAGGCTGTCAGAGGAACCTCTGGCTTCTGTGCAGTCTTCACGGGCAACAAAGGGATCAGGTAGGTTTCCTCCTGAAATAAGGAAGCCCAGGCAGAGCCCTCCTACTACGGAAACTCTGTCTTGAGAGGTGAAGACCCATCTCTGGAGGCATCCAAGTGGAGGCCAGGATTGACAGGGATGCTGCACAGCAGGGCCTGGCAAACTTCATCCGACAGTAACTTTCAGGCTTTGCAGGCCACTGGCAGTGTCTGTTGCATGTTCTTATTGGGTTTTGGTTGTTTTTAACCCTTTAAAAATGTAAGAACCCTTCTTAGCTGGCAGGCCATACCCAAACAGGGGACCCTGGCCCTGCTGTAGAAGACGTAGCATCAGGTGTTGCCTTTAAGTAAACAGTTTTGCAAGGTTCCTTCCAGTCTGAAATTCTGAGTCTGTGAAGTGCTAGGAGTCCCACAGATTTGCTCTGTGACCCTGGACAAATTGTTCCTCCTCTTCGGGCCTCGACATCCCCATCAGGAAAATGGGCCGAAGGATCCCTGAGAGAGGAGAGAGGGTATGGTGGGCAAAGCACAACACTTTATTCAATACATGTCCACCACGGGCCACTCTGCTAGGTGCTGGGAATACAGCAGGGAGCAAAACAGCAAGGTCTCTGGCCTCACGGAACCTCTGGTCTAGCTGGAGAGACAGACAAGCAAATCATCACCTGGCTATAATATGAAGGATAAGAGCTTTGGGAAAGTTCAGGGGGCTTGGCCTGGTCTGGTTCCGTCCAAGATACCTAAATGTTAACCAGGCGAAAAAGGGGTAGGAGGAAAGGAGCCCCTCAAAAAGCAACAGCAGGTGCAAAGGTCCCGAGATTGGAGAGAGCCTGGCATTTTCAAGGAATTGCAAGAAGCCAGGGTGATGGAGCTGAGAGAGGGAGGTCTGAGCTGGAAGTGGGAGGATTAGGCAGGAGCCAGGCCACGCGGGCTGCGCGTGGCTCTGGGTCTTTATCCTGGCAGCAAACACTCACTGTTCTACGTGCCTTACACACGTGATCACACCTAATGCTTCCATACCAGGGTCACATAATTAATAAGCAGTAGGATCAGGCCCTAAACCCAGGCAGTCTAGTTGCAACAGCCTTGCTCCTACCTGTCAACCACACTGCCTTTCGGAGCAATAACGTGCCACTGCAATGCTGAGATCGAGGTGCGAGGTGCGGAAACCATCAGATCTGAATTCTGAAAAGATGGCTGTGGCTGCAGGGCTCTTATCATTCTAATCACTGCTTTCTTTCGCCACCCTGGGGGCGGGTGGTGAGCCGCAGGAGGCCTGCAGGAGCTAACTGTGCACAACTCTCCCCAAGTTCCCATTCAGGGATTTCAGGGATGTCACACTGGTAGCTTGCAGTCAGCCACGGAGGGAATATTCCACCAGGGAAAGCAGCCATACTACAAATCAGGATGGGTTTTTCTCTGCACAGCCGGTTGATAAACTTTTATGCACACATCACTGTCTCTGTCTCCCCCAAAAGAGCCTCTCACAGTCCCAAACACGCACCCCACTCCAGCTCCCACATCTTG